CCAATTCCACCAATCAGGGATAAGCTAGGAGTCCTATGATAATGCCATTATTTACCCTCCCAGAATGGTTGTCAAGGCTGTAAATAGGTACATGAAAAATTGAAAACATGAAAAGACAAAACAAAATATATATATATTTTTTTAGGTAAGAATGTAATTTTTTTAATTAAAACTAGATTTTGTTTTAAACTTTTGCAAATAAAATCATATAACTTATATTAGAAAGGACTAGATTCTCAGGTAACATGTGATGTATTTTTAAGTTGCTAATTTCAAACCATTAAGCTAATATGGCTAGCTAAACAATGGCTGACAGGGGTGGGTTAAGTTGCAACATGTTTTTAAAACGTGCCCTTACATACATCTGAGAACAGTTTCTTTTTGCCTAGACAGTGGAAAAGAAAGACAGAGGTGTACCTTGCCAGTGTTTCATAAAAAGAACTGATTATATTTTAAAGAAGGGCAGGACATTCAGAACAGTTGCAAGAAAAGCCACAGACAGCCTTCGTGTTGTCTATATGGGGACATTTGGCAGCTAAACGCCAAAGGAACTGTATAAAATGTGCTCTATGCAGTTTCTGGACCCACCAAGTCTACACTCAGGGTTAACAACATTCATTTGTAACCATTGTGACTCTGACTGAGAATATTCACACACTGACACAAACACAGTGTTTTTTGTTAGACCTACATGTTCTTTACACAGGTACACTGGAGCTGAGTGTTCATTAAGCATAAATTCCTTTAAGGAAGTTTGTTCTAGTAGACTCATTTACACATACACACTCCTGAGTCAAACAGAAAGTAAATTTGAGCTGTGGTCAGTCACAGAAAATGAGACATTGTCTAGTATTGCTCTTTTAGATTGTTTCATTAAACCTGTATTTGAAGCATATTGCATGTTGTTGCTGCTGCTGTTTTTGCTTCTTTTGTCTAATTGTTACAACTTGCCCCAGCATGTGTTACAACCTACCCTGGCAGTGGGGTAGATTGTAACTGGCTCCTTCCATTTTCATGTTTTGCCAAACGTTTCTAATTTAAGAAGCTGGATGTACTGCAACGTCCGTCTGCAACGGATGTCTGACAGAGCACAATTGTTACCCAGTGGTAACGAAAATATATTATTTTTAAAATAAAAATATATTATATTTAAAAATTACCTTAGCACCAGGTAGCTAGTTAGCTAGCCAGTTAGCATCAGCTAACAATATTTTCAAATAGGCTATTATAATTTTTCAATTCCTAGTTATTTTAAGCTTAAAACTGCCTGTAGGCCTACTCTGATTTTGCTGTAAATGTATAAAGCAAATTGCTTTGTCAGAGTGGGGGCCCGCCAATGTTCACGACAAAACAGTTTTACTATGTTTTACTAGCCTGAGAAGAAAAACACTCGTGTCAGACCTCTGAGGAACTTTTGACCCTTCTCGCACTACACTGTTCTTTGGCATGACAATATTTTACTTGTTTAACTAACGTTACACGCGTACTTTGACTTGAAGAACGTCTATCAGATAAAACAAAATGTGGCACAGTGAGGGATGGTGGCTTTATCGATGCGTATCTACACACTTTTGGTTTGGCTATAGGTTCTATCTTAACGCGGTTGGTCACTCAGGTGCTTCATTCCGCACAAAGACATTGAATTTCGTCTCACGGCAAGTGCGCACTGCGGTTCCAAGCACAGGATGTCAACCAGACACACTACAGGTTTTGAAAGTTTCATTCTTATCAACCCAAGAAGTAAAGCAAAATAAAGACATCTGTGGACATCTGTGAGCATGTATTTTAAGTGGACGTGACAAGAATGAATAAAAAGCAAAAGGGCCAGTCAGTGCTTGCAGAGCTGTGCGTTACTGGTGTGGTTTCAGTTTTGTATAACTTACATTTATTTTCAGAGTCTTAGTAACTTACTTTATTTAGGCCTATTTATTTAGCCTAGAATTTATTACATTGAATTGTAATATTTTATTTAGGGTAGATGTGTTTTTTCCCATTTCCATTTTAGTTCCGTATAGTTCAATAAATCTTTTAGTTTTGTAATTTAAGAACCCAAGAGTTTTCATCTGTTAGGACGGTATGTTTGTTGAATCCCATTTCTGTTATTATTATATCCTCATGTTCTTTTGAAATTGACTTTACTGTCTTAATGCTCATATCTTTTACTTAATGAAAGCTCCTGGACGTATATGAATGAATTTTTATCCCTCCATTATGTCACGAAATATGCAAAGTCATTTCAGAAATGTGACTGCTATTCAATATAATATTGTGTTTGTAGTAGGGGGAATAATTGGCTGGAGTGAAATACTGCAGTGAAATTTTGCAATCGAAAATTAAATGCATTTATTCATTATTAATACATAATAAAAACAAACAAGTAGAGTTAAATAAGCTACAGGCTGTTAGAAAGAGGTGAATTAAGCTGGGACAGGCAAACAATGCAGAGGGATCTTATCAGAGGCTTTATTCAGAAGAAGAATATGTCATTCCAAAGCAACATAAGAGTCAGGTAGATGCCTTGTTTTATTTAACAAGGATGAAAATTAGGGATGCAGTCTATGTAATGAGCTTTTTTATGAATCAGAATGAATTTCAGGATGAATTATTCATAAAACATCTTACACTATGTAAATTGTCACAATGCAGTTTAGTGGGGCAATTTACAAATATACAAATGGATTTATGAATGATTTACAAAGAAATTCAAGCTGATGGTTGTGCCTTGTTGTCAGTCGTTTGGCCTACAGAACATAGAAAATACTTTAGAAAAAAAATGAAATTTAAAGATTTGACAATACGCATGTGCAATTCCAGTGGTGGATGGAAGTACACAAATCAAGTACTTGAGTAAAAGTACAGATCCGTATTATAAAATATTACTCTAGTAAAAGTAAAAGTACTCAGTTTTCAATTTTACTCGAGTGAAAGTACAAAAGTACTTTATTTTTTATGTACTTAAGTAAAAAGTACTGATAGATGAATGTTTATTTTGCAGTTTTATATAGGCTACTTTTATCATTAAATTTTATATTAGCATATATTTTTTTATAATCCTA